GTGCGTGCGTGCGTGCGTGCGTGCGTGCGTGCGTGCGTGCGTGCGTGGGTGTGTGGGTGTTCCCACGTCTGTCACTCTGACGCTTAGAGCGTGTTTGTGTGTAAGTCTGTGGAAGAATATGGAGGAGGAAACTGATACAGGAGGTGGACCTAAATGGAACAAACCAAAGCACAACTTCCGGAGTGTAACTAACAGATGGCCAGGGACAGGCAGGCAACATGACCTCCATCAGGTTTCTGGAGTTACTGCTTCCCCTCCTCCTCCACCAGGTCTACAGTGAGGAGGCTGAGCCCGTGTTCAGAGCAGAGGGCACCGTTATTGAGTTGGGGTATTGTTTTAGAATGGATTATATTGTTGTTTATAGATGTGCACCGGAGGGGGACCAGCTGCTTGGCAACTCCTCGGCCGACAACACGTCCGTTACACCTCCTGCGGACCTCCAGAGTCGCATCCACATCAACAAACAGCAGTACCTGCTCGGGCTCCAGATCAGTCACCTCACACACAAGGACTCAGGGATTTATAGGAGGGAATGCTGGCAGAACCAGGAACTAGTCAACCAGCACACACAGCAGCTCTCTGTGTGCAATAAGGAAGTGGTATCTGAAGAGATCCCTGTGAAGAAAGGAGATGGAAGGGTTGAGCTTCTGTGCAACAACACTTCCATTGGTTTGGAGGGAACCTCTGTGCGCTGGTACCGCGAGATGTTTCCGTTGTATATGCCCACACTCTTCCTGGATAGCAGTGTGTCGCTGGATCCTCTGTTGGAGGAGCTACAGGGTGTCGTGGAGGTCAGAGACAATGGGGCGTTGCTCTTGCTCGACAGTAGCAAGTTAAAGAATAACGAGCATTTTATCTGTCTCGTGAGCAGAGGTAAGAATTGTCTCAGTTTCCAAAGCATGCACCCACCAGACCGTAGTGAGAGCAGGGACATTTTTGCCTCAGACGGAGACAAAGTGGTATTACAATGTCCCTCTAATGGTAACAACCAGCAATGGGACACACCACTGGGGAAAGTCAATGGTAGCAGCGTGGAGATGTACATATCATTCGGTGACAAATCGGAAGACTTCTCATTGGTAATTCCTGCTGTCTCTGATGAACTTAGTGGGGACTATTCATGCATCTCCTCCTCGCTTGAAGTGCAGTACTTGCTGGTTCTTTGCCCCCGAAAGGAATCCCAAGAAAAAGTTGTTGTTGAAGGCGGGAGCGTCCTGCTAGAGTGTGACGTTGACAAAGATGCTTCCCAAAGGGTGCAGTGGCACCACCGAGAGCCATCAGGTGAAGATGAACTTATCCACGACTCAAAGGACGAGACTGTTCCCATCCCGGAGGATCTGAGGGGCAGACTGTCTCTGTCCGAGAATGGCTCCTCGCTGACAATCTCCCACCTGGAGGCGAAAGATCAAGGAGTGTACTGGTGTGTTGTTTTTGAAGACCACGAGTTCCTGGAGGGGGATGATGATTACAAAGATGACTATGATGTGGAAGGTAGTGGGGAAGATGAAGATGGCATGTTCTGGGTTGACACATACAGGTGCATCTTTAAACAGGTGACCAATTTAAGGAGTAATGAAACTGACCCCAGAGCCGATCCATCTGTAGCCTCTAATGTTACTGCCTATGCCGTGGGCGCGGCAGGACTGTTGGGGCTGGTGGTGGTTGGAGGGATTGTGGCAGTGATTGCAATAAAGAGGAGAGCAAAGGCCACAGCGAACAGAGACACAGCAATTAGCATGGATCCTTGTGCTGAGGGTTTAACTCAGAATGATGAACATCGGGGTTTACAGCTTTCGTAAAGTAGCCCGAAGGAATTTTACATACAACGGACATTAATTGTGCTTTTAAATTTGTCCATAAAACAGCAGTTGGTGATTGTGAAAGAGTCGTACTATACTTTCAGTTTCATGCTGATGCTGCCTTCCTCCTCTCTTTAGAAACTAATGACATATACTGGATTTATAATCTGATGAATGCAATTTCTTCTTTTAAAACTCCATTTTGTCTGCTGACTGAAAATATCAACTTGTCAATGCTGTCACAATGTCTTTCGGTATAGCCAGCACAGTCTGAAAGGAAAAAGAATACTGGTACTGTGTTTCTAACTTATCTGATGGTCTGACAACGTGGTATGGCTGTTATGTGACATTAAATGGTGACTAAAAACCAGTCAGGCTGCTCTCCTGTCAACAGATTTTTTGGTGGGAATAAGGGAGAGTGTAACGAACGAAAACTACCAGAAGCTCTAGTATCAAAAGAATCTAAACAGAAAGTCATTTCACTGTAACACTATTACTGCCCTGTACATTAAAGTAATAACCGCAGGCTGACTTTTTTTCAGTAATGTTTGTTAGTATCTATATAACTGAACATGTTTTCTTTCTTATACGCACACTATATTTAGGCTATTACGATTATTTTAATTGATCTTAAAGTTGGATGAATTTATATATTTTCATTTTGGGGGCAGCAAAAACAACCTG